AAAGATGTCAAGTCCCGCAGGGCCCTAGTCTCTTGTGACAGAGCGTTCCACCAAGTCGGGGCCAGTACTGAAAAGGCCCTGGCCCTAGTTGAGACCAACCTAACTACTTTGTGGCTTGGGACCTCCAAAATGTTGTCATTCGTGGACCTTAAGGTCCTCCGCGGAGCATACCAGGAGAGGCGGTCCTGTAGGTATGAGGGTCCTAGGCTGCATAGAGCTTTAAAGGTCAAAACCAGCACCTTAAACCTGACCCTGTGCTCCACCGGGAGCCAGTGCAGTTGGTAAAGCACTGGATGAATGTGATCCCGTGGCAAGGACCCCGTAAGGGAAGCCTGTGAGCATCACCTGAATGCAACAGCAGGACTCTCCCCACTTGTGATTCCCAGCAACTGATACTCAGAGGCATACTGCCTCCAACGGGGCGGGAGAACACAGCCATTGTGTCTAGTTGCCATGGACAGCAATATCCCCTCCATGAACTTGTCTACCCACCTGTTTGAAGCTGTCAGAGTTGGTGGCTATCACTACATCTTGTGGCAGAGAATCCCCTAGTTTCACAATGCTCTTTGTCAAGGAGTTCCACCTTTTGTCTGCCCTGAAGCTTCTGACATTCAGATTCACTTCCTGCCCTGTAGGAAGCTCCTGCAGCCAATTGGAAGCTGTGGAAGCCCTGTCGAACGTTCGGCTTCCAAAAGAATGTCTGAAAACTGGAACACTCACTTCCGGTTTTCAATCGTTCGGGAGCCGGAATGTTAGACTCCCAAGGTGTTTGGGAGCTGAGGTACAACTGTATTATTACACAATTAGTATTAATTGCAGGGGTTGGACTCGATTACCCTTGGGGTCCCTTTCAACTTTATGATTTTAAGAGTGGGAGTGCACTTTCTCCACACTTTTGTCCTCCCCTTTTACTTACCAAATATTGTCAACCAAACAGACAGATGCAGGCAGTCCTAAACTTTTTGTGTTTGTCTGTTCCCCTCCACCACCACCCAGATTAGATTACCTGGATAAGAGCAGGAAGTTTGAGGATCGGCTGAAAGAACTCAAGTCCGAAATCCACGCCCTGAAAGTCGAAGAGAGGCACGCAGGCTTCCTCTCGCACTGGAGTGAAGTCCTTGGGTCGCTGGGCCGTTCCTCGGGGAAGATGTGCAAGGTTGGACTGCAGCCAAGTGTTTTATTTCCCAGATTGCTCTAATGTGTATGGAACGGCTTGTGCTGGAACAGACAAGAGGTCTCTTGGGCCTGGTGCTTGGCTGTTGCCAGTGGTGAGCTGCCTGCAGTGAGCAGGATGCCAGGCAAAACAGGAACAGCTCAGGCATCCTTAATTTCCAGAGGGGTAGCCTGTTGCAGCAAAATCAAGAAGAGTCTTGCAGCACCTTAACAAATTGTGTCTTGTGGACTAGAGTCCACTTTGTGCATCTTATAAAGCAGGGGTGTCCAACTTTCAAGAGTCCATGATCTACTCCCACTATAAAATAACTGGCAGTGAACTACCTGTCAAAGTTGCTGAGCTTTTTTTTAGGGGAGGATGACCCAAAGTTGTTGAGCTTTTTAAATATATTTTTGGAACGGGGGGGAGCCATCGGGGGATCACAATCACTGGATCGCAATCACCCCGCGATCGATCACTACCTGTTGGATACCCCTGTTATAAAGTGTCGTTCTCTGTTATGCACATGGCTCTAAGAGATAGGATTGTGTGTGAAAGAAAGCAGTAAAACCATAAAGGAATGAAATGCAAGATTAATTATTATTATTATTTATTACCTCCCCTTCACCCTAAGGTCCCAGGGCAGGCTACAACATTAAAACACAGCATTAAAAACAAATTAAAAAATATAATTAAATTGTATGCAAAATATAGCACAGTAACTTGTTACCACAGGGCTGGGAAACCTCTGGTCTGTGGGCCAATCTTGACACATGAAGGGGGTCTAGCCCACAAAGGTTAGCCCCGCTCCCCAAGCCATGCTCACCAGTCCATCAGCTGGCATCACTGGGAAGGTGGTAGAATCCAGCTCTGAGCTGGTAATGTAGGAGGGACAGTGAGCACAATTATTTGCATTTTTCTTGAGCTGCTGCTAAGTGAGCCCCCAGGGACAGTTTGGTGGTAGCTTATGGGGCTTAATCCCAGAATTTGTTTGCACTGGGCCCCAAATCGCCTGCACTTCCCCTGCTCTTCTTAACCATTTTAAAAGCTTTGCTTTTAGAGTGACTGGGATGCACTGCAGAGACCTTGCTGCATACTGCCTTAAGATGCTCATTGTCAATTTGTGCCAAGTGCCTTGACCTGAGCCTTTTAAGTATCTAGCAATGTCAGCTGCATTTATACTGAGAACTAATATTGCAGCCTCTTCTCTGTGGCACTTAGTGGCACTGATGTGCTTTTGAGGGTGGCATTCTAGGGAAAGACACCAACCTGGTCCCTAGCAAGACCTGGCTGAGACCTAACCATGGACTCCTTGAACATTGGGGAAGAAGTCATTTTAAAGGGTCAGGTCCATAGCTCACTGGTAGAGCATAAGCTTTGCATGCAGAAGATCCCAGGTTTAATCCCTATCGTCTCTAGGTATGGATGGGAATTCACTTATCTGAAACCCTGGAGAGCCGTTGCCAGTCTGTGTAGACAATGCAGAGCTAGTTGGGCCAAAGGTCTTATACTCAGTATAAGGCAGCTTATACTGTTCCTATTTTTGCTTCCCTACTCTTTGAACACAGGAAGCTGCCATACACAGTGAGATACTTGGTCCATCCAGCTCTGTAGCATTGACTGGCAGAAACTTCCTAGGGTTTGAGCCTGCTTGTGAAGGAGGCTGAGCATCTCTTTTGTAGAAAATTGAGTGCTTGGTGCCTTCACGGAACTACAGTTCCCTGGAGTCTATTTTTGAGCAGGGAGTCATGAGGATCAAGCAGACTAAAATGGTTCAAAATGGATGCAGTATAGATGCACCCTGATTTTAGCAGGATGTTAATGGTCAATGTGCGTGTTGTTTTCCTAAGACTCCTTTGTGGATGAACCCCTTTGAAGTGGACTTGTTGGACAGCCTGCAGCAGCCTTTTGTGCCGTGCCCGCTCAACATGACCAACGGCTCTCTGCCCAGAATGCCAGCGGAGAAACCCTCTTTTGAGATAGACGCCCTGGCTGCCAGTAATGTGGGCACAGGTATAAGGAAGCACATTAAGGTAACTGAGCCTGGCAACCTTCTACACTTCCTGGTTCAAATTGTGTCTTATTTGCCAGCTGCTCTCTTGGGCTGCTTATGTGCTATTTTGACTGAGATATTCACACAAAACCTGGTGCGCAGAATCAGGGCGCAAATTCCCATAGAGTGTGACACTATTTCCAACGAAAGCTTTTGGGCAGGTGCTGCTGAGTGCTCATGTGTCAGGCCTGAAGATCATGGCTCATCCTTTTGTGTGGTTCCAGCACATGGGCACTCAGGTATATTGCCTCTGAACATGAAGGTTCCACTTACTGTAGCTCTTGTGGTTAACAGCCATTGATAGGCCTGTCCTCTATGGATTTGGCTAATCCAGGGATGGATAACTTGTTGGTTTCATGAGATCAAATGTGAGGAACCTTCGGCACTCCAGATGTTGCTGAACCACAACTCCCATCATCCCTGGCAATTGGCCACACTTGTAGTTTGTAGATGTAGTCTGGCAACATCTGGAGGGCCAAAGGCTTCCCACGTTTGCTGTAGATGTTGCTGGCCTTCAGCTCCCTTCATTCTTAAACACTGGCCATGCCACCTGAAGAGTGATGGGAGTTTGAGTCTGACAACATCCAGAGGTCCCCAGGTTCTCCATCCCTCATCCATTCCTTCCTTAAAGCCATCTAGCGGCTATCTCTGTGTACATAACATTACCTGCGGATTTCAAAAATGTTCCCATGTCTTTTCAGTTCCAAATCCTGAACTGCTTTTCAAGCTGAAATAACTATTTTCTGTCTCCACTCAGGTACAACAACACAAAACAGACGTGATCTATATCTGAAGCACCTTAAGGCAACTGTCTGCAGCTTGGTCAACATTTGTTTTGAGGAAGCCTAAAGGCTACTCTCAGATCCTAGAAAGACTGTTGTAGAAACCTGCCACATCTGTGCCCTACTTTGGTTCCCAGGATGTGTTTCTTGCCTTCAAAAGCAAATCTGGTGATACTGGATGCACCAGAGGTGAGGTGGGTAGGGCTCTCCACCACACCTCAGGTATCAACCTGAAGGTATAATAAAACTTCATGTATTTAGTGGTGATTCGGCATTTCAATAGGTACACTTACGCACAGTTCTATAATAATTAAGGTATGGCCCCAGTTTGGCTAAAGTTAGTTGCGACTAAATCATCAATTAAGCTTACTTGGAAATAAGTCCCACTGAACATAGTGGGACTTACCTTCTAAGAACTGAAAGCTGTTTGTTGTGACCAGCTCCGTGTTCCGCTGAAAAGCAATGGAGCTGTAATCAGAACTTAACTGAATCACGTCCTGTGCATTTAGGAATCTGTGTGGATGGTTATGTTCACAAGTACTGTGATGAATGTAGAGAATTCTGCAGCTATTATTAATGCCATTTTAAAAAAATTAAAAGATGACAAAGGGCTTTGAATTAAGGGACAAAACTTGAAATGCAAAAATCTCCTAGTTAATTAAAAGCCGTTTAAAATGACTATGCCATATGCATTCCCAAGCTGATGTGGGCTTTAACACATTTTAGAAATCTTTCTTGGAATGGGAGTTGTAGCCCCTATCATAGAGGGGACCAGATTGTGAGAAGGCTGATCCTATGCGTGCCCACTTAGAAGTAACTCCCATTCTTTTCAGTGGGGCTTACTTGGGAGTAAGCATCTAGGGTTATAGAAACACACCAAGACCTGTCCTTGAGTAAACATGCACAAGGAACTGCTTAGTTAGAATCTGCGTATCAGCCATTCAGTCAAGGGTTAGGGTTTGTAAACAGTCACAAAGGAAGAGGCTTGGAACAAAAGACAGAGGAAGAGGAGTTAGCAGAAAGCTAATTTTAATGTCAGTATCCAATGCGAAGATTCTGCATTTTATATTTTGCAAAGGCCAAAATAACACAAGTCTCTCATCAGAAGCTCCCCTCTGCACTCACAAACAATGCAACGTGGAGGAATCAGTTCTCTTTCTAGCCAGCGTTTACCCCCCCCCTCCAAAAGCTGGGGAGCTGTGTCTGTGTTCCTTAAGAGCAGGCAGGGATGGAGAAACTGCAGCCCTTCAGGGGTTGCTGGACAACTCTCTGCATCTTTGACCTTACTCGGCAATGATGGCTGAGGCTCACGGGGACCAACAAGCACGGCATCATCATATGGAGGCCCACAGGTGTTCCCTATTCAGCAGCACCCATAACAGGGATGGGGGACGGAGGACATCAGGGTGACTCTTCCCTATTTCACGCATAGTTTCATGGCATCTCACCAGTGCAACATTAGAAGGAAAAAACAATGTCTTGCCTTATAAAGTTCTCTTTCTTAGTGTCTAGTATCTGAGGTTAAAGGTGCAGCAGCTCCCAAAGAGGTGCCTGCAAAGAGTCTGCACTTCGTTCTCTGCAGAGTGCCAGAGAACGACATGAACTCAGGCAGGAAATGCTTTTTTGGGGGGGATCTGACTGTAACCCCAAACTTATCTACAGGAAATTAAGGGCCTCCTGGCAATTTCTACTTGGCACCTAAATTGTCTTCACCTGTGTGGTCTATTTGCCAAACCATCAGTTGGTACAATGAATGGAAAGAACTCAAGGGAAGGGTAGAGAGTCACTGGAGCCCACTGGGCCTTTTGCTAGATCAAGAGGCTGATCTAGGAAATAAATACTGATTTCTATATTTTAAGTTATTGTAAATATAATTTTCTTTTTTCCAAAATAAATTATCTGAACAATTATTTCTGGAGCTTGGCTTTTCTGTGTTTGGTCAGTGCTTTGATGGGTCCCTCAACATAAACAATGACTCCGCAGCCACTAAAAGCATACGGTGGTGCTGCTGGAACTCAAAACCAGCTGCAGAAGGCTGGGCACACAGATTTTCCTCCTGACCCAGCAACCCACAAGCTGCTTCCAAGGCACACACACCACATTCAACATTCTCTTGTCACTGTCCTTCACAGCAGGCAACGAAAAGGCAACTGGGAAGGGGGGCTGCATACTAAGGCTGTGGCAGGATCAGGCCTGCCAATGCTTGCTTTTCCATTTATCTATTTTTAGTGGCTATGGTCAGTTTCTTCTCTGACAAGTGGCGGCCTGCTGTTCTTCAGTCTTTAAGGAAAGATGTTTTGGCATTTTGTGGACCCTCGACCCCCTGCAGCTAAGCACTCAAAGAACGAGGAAATAGTCCCAGCAGAACCAACCCGACTAGGGAGGGCTTCCCACCTTTCGAGTCAAATGAGAAGGTTCTTATTCTCCAAGTTGCCTTAAAATGCAACCACTCACCAATGTTGGTGTGGGATTAACACCCAAAGAAAAGCTCAAACAAGAATTGGGAAAATAGCAAAGGTCAACCCACAAACAGGCGACGCGAGGGAGCCTTTAATACAGTTCTTGCTGGGGTTGGGGTGGGATTGGTCAGCGGCTACTCCAGGCGCTCATCCCCCTCTTCCACATCTTTCAGGCTGAGCACCTCGAGGGTCCCTTTGCCTTTAGTCTCACACCGGATCAACTCGTCAATCTCCCGGAAGCAGCCTGGATCCACAAGGCACACCTGTAACATTGGCATTTGCATCAGGTTGCGAGTTATGGAGAAATGCTTAGCTGGGTCAGATCCAGGTAGCTTCACCTAGCCCTCCACCCTGTGTCTGAAAGCAGCCAGCCAGATGCCTCCAAGAAGCCCACAAAAAAGGCTGTTCCGTTCTTCCCAAGCAGCAGCCTCTGAGTAGGAGCTTCCATTCAGCCACCTGCAGAATCCTCCTCAAATACAGTGGTGCCCCGCAAGACGAATGCCTCGCAAGACGAAAAACTCGCTAGACGAAAGGGTTTTGCGGTTTTTGAGCTGCTTCGCAAGACGAATTTCCCTATGGGCTTGCTTCGCAAGACGAAAACGTCTTGCGTTTTTTGCAAGTTTGTTTCCTTTTTCTTAACACCGTTAATACAGTTGTGACTTGACTTCGAGGAGCAACTCATAGAACGCGGTGTGGTAGCCTTTTTTGAGGTTTTTGGCGATTTTTGAAGCTTTTCCAAAACTTTTCCGACACCGTGCTTCGCAAGACGAAAAATTCGCTAGACGAAAAAACTCGCGGAACGAATTAATTTCGTCTTGCGAGGCACCACTGTATGTTTCAAAGGGAATTAAAGTCATCTAAGCCACTAGCCATCCATCACCCACATTTAGCAGCTGTGAATTTCACACAGTATGAAGGACTAGATGGGGCTGATGGGAACTGTAGTCCAACAACACTTGAAGGGCAGGCACCAGGTGAGGGAATACACCAATAGTGACTGCAGCACCCAATGATGCCTCTGCTCTGCCTCCACAGTTGAAGGGAGCAATGCTTCTGAACACCAGTTGCTGGAAACCGCAGGAGACGAAAAATGCTCTTGGGCTCAAATCCTGCTTGCTGGTATCTCACAGGCACCTGGCTGGCCACTGTGAGAATGGGATGCTGGACTAGATGCACCACAAGCTTGATCCAGCAGGGCTCTTCTAGCATTTATTTGCTAAAAATCTTCACAACCATTCATAGTATGGCCTATGGATACAATCTTATACTGATTTACCCAGCAGAAGGCCCTATTGAATCCACTGGGCCCCCTCACAAGCCAAGATGCAAATGGCTAGGCTGTAAAGGTGACTCCCCATCTCTATGGCTCCTTGCATGTGATCAGGGATCCCAGAGGAATCACTTACCTCCCCTCCCCCTCTAGAAAATGTCTCTTTGACTTACAATTTCCAGCTGCTCGTCAAAATCCTCACTCTCGATTACTTTGATCAGGGGCTTCAGCTTCTCTTTCAGCTTCTTCCCCTCTTTCCGGGGGAGGACAAAGCGGAGACGCATGTGCGCCCGCTCAATCTGCATAGTCTCCTTCAACTGCTTGATTACTTCCAAGGCCTGTGGGGAAAATCAAGAGGCTTACTTGTCCAACTGAGGGACAGTGGGCTCTGACACTTCAAAAGCAAGGTCTTCACACTTTACAAGCCACACAGAATACAGTCATACCTCGTGTTGCATTAGGTACATGTTGTGTCTTTTCAGCTTGCAAACGCGGCGAACCCAGAAGTGTATACTTCCGGGTTTCGCCGCACGCACAGAAGCATTATGTGTGCTTTCCACACATGCAGAAGCGCTCTATTGCGCTCCGCGCTCGCGCTGAAGTGCCGTTCTAGTTGCGGACTTTTTGGGGTGTGAACGGCTCCCCGGAACGGATCGTGTCCGCAACTAGAGGTACCAGTGTACAAAATATACAGCAAAGATCACACATCCTATAGCAATCTGATCTGAAGCCAATAAACCATAATTAAAAACATGACTTTAAAATAAATAACTTATATCAAGTGAAGAAACATTCACTAATCCATTTAGAATGTAACCTTACACAATAAAATTCTCTCTCAAAATATCAGCAAATAATAATTAAACAGAAATTCATTCTGAACAATTACAATGAATCGTTACTAGACTGAAATCAATAAAAATAACAGCAAAGTTATGATATGTAAAATTCCATGATATATAAAATTACAAAATGCACTGGTTCCCTGGTCCACGTCCAATATCTCATCCTTATGCTGCCCTAACTCACACTTGGCAACTGCAGCTCTCCTCTGCCCCTTTTCCCAACAAACCTGATACAGAGAGATTGGCTGGCCTAGCAGGGAACTGAACCTGGATGTCCTGAGTCCTAGTTCAAAACTTAACTACTTAATCACTGTCTCTAGTTAAGCCCCGTTAACTGTGACTACTGTTTGCCCCCCCAGGAAGAGTAGAAGGTAAATCACTTCCAGTAGGCTTCCTTCCCCAGCTCAGAAGCAGCAAGAGAGAGATCACTGCACTGTTCCTAATAACAAAAGAAGCTGCTTTATACAAATTCAACCTTTGGTCACCTTTGGTCTACACTGACTGGCAGTGGCTCTCCAGGGTTTCAGGCAGGATAACTACCTGGGGAAGTTGGAGCAGGAATATGGGTACTTCCTATGGGCTTGCCCCCCAAAAGGCTAAAATAAAATACTCTTAAATAAAAATAAAACTGATTCAGGAGCTTAGCATGGCACACCACTAGAAATAAGATGGTCTCCTGTGGGAGTCACTTACCTGCTGCTTGGTGCTTTTTCCAGGTTTGACTGAGTAGTGAATATCCTTCATAGCTCTTTCAATGAGGATGACTGTGTACGGCCTCTTTGTTTCTGGGTTCACACATTTCTCTGCCACAATGGTTGCAATGTCACGAAACATCTGCTCCAGCTGCGTGTGCCGCTCTTTATCCGACACTTGCAGCTCTCCCTTGTCCAGAATCTGAAAGCAAGAGAAGCTTTGTGTTTGGATGCTGCCTTTTTCTGATTCAAAGGATGCAAAAATCTGGTCCAGTCTTCTGAAATTTTCAGGTACAGCTATACAGGTTACCCCAGGCAGCAAGCCCTGGAAGAATGACTAGCTTGAATTTGGGGGGGGGGGGATTGCAAGTTTGTATTACGGTAGTGGTGGTGGGGACTTCTAGCCTATGGGCCTAATTTGGCCCACCAGTTCTCCCCGTTTAGTCCATGAGGCCATTTCAGCCCTATACCTGCCGCATACGATCTCATATGTGGAACAGGTACAGGTACAGATGGGGACTGGCTGGCTGAAAGGGGGGGTTGCTGATGCCGCCAATTATGTGATTGTCAGGTCTTGCAAAACACGATGCCTCTTCCCACACAATTTGACTTCAAACCAAGTTGCTTGACATCATCACTATCAAACTTGGCCTGGCCACTGTGCGTACTCATTGTGGCATTAGAGGATGACCCAAAGGCATTTTAACAAGAGAAAGAGAGGGGAGGCTGTCTGCCTCCCAACAGACACCTTGAGAGCCTACCATCTTGCAGATTTCTGTCTGGTCTTCCGTGCCAAAGGCTTTGACCAGCTCTTCCTTCTTTGCCACTTGGCCCTTGGAGACATTCACAAAGATGGTGTGTGTCTGCAGGACTTCATCAAGGTCCTTTTCCCTAAGAAATATTTTTTTTTAATGAGTAAAGCACATTCTGGAATAATCGCACGAGGACTGGATGCAAATACTAAGAACATTATGGTCAGTCATTTGCCAGCACTTTAAGGTGGCAACGACTACAAAACTGCCTAAGAACCTAAGAGGAACTCTGCTGGATGAGGCCAAAGGCATGAGATCAGCATCCTGATCTCATCAGATGCCCTAATGGAAAGCAGGACCTGAGTGCAAAAGCAGTGCTCTCCCCACTTGTGATCCCCAGCAACTGGTTCTCAGAGGCATACTGCCTCCAACAGTGGATGCAAAACATAGCCTTTGTGGCTAGTAGTCCCTGGCTATCTCCTCCTCCGTGAGTTTGTCTAACCCTCGTTTAAAGCCATTCAAGTTGGTGATCATCACTACATATTATTTATTTGTTACATTTATATCCCACCTGTCTTTCCAAGGAGCTCATGTACATAGTTCTCCCCTTCTCCTTTTTATCCTCACAATAACCCTGTGAGGTGGGTGAGGCTGAGAGACCATGACTGGCTCCCACACAGTGAGCTTCATGGCTGAATGGGGATTTGAACTCTGGTCTCCCAGATCCTTGTCCAATGCTCCAACCACTACACTACACTACACTACACTACACTACACTAGCAGATATTAATTCCAGTTTTAACCATACCAAGATTAGGCATTTGGATATTACGCTTGCTTCGACAGTACTGGCTGCTGCTACTTTAATTAATAAGCTGTATGTTGTTTTAAACTGATTTTAATATTGAGCTTTAATGCTGTTAACCTGCCCTGGAACCTTGGGGTGAAGGGAGGGTAATAAACGATCAATATAACAATACATACACCATCGAAAAGCTATGTGGGTAAGCAGGCACAGGAATTTAGCCTTGCACTCTGTGCATGCTCAGAAACCCTCTGTTTTAACCATTAGGTCAAGAAAACTCTGGGAGGCTGTTTATCTGTGAATCTCAATCTCTTCGTTTTCGGCCCATGCCCCGCCCCCGCTTCCGGTCAACTTACGTGCCGCTCCGCCAGCCCATGACCTTGTTCCGGTAGCAGGCGATCTCGAAGCGCTTCCCTGCCTTCTTGACGCGCACCACGGCCACATTAGTCAGGCGGATCTGGTTGGTGGGTGTGAAGATCGACATGATGGCGACGGATGAGCTCGCAGTTTCTGTCAGAAGCGATGGCCCCTCCGCGCCTGCGCACCAACCGCTCTCCCCTCCTAGCTCCGCCCACGGACGCTAACCAGGGCCAATGAACAAGCCTTTTCCTCCTCCGCCTTATTGTGGCGAAGGTAGCGTCGGAGCTCGCGAGAGACGAGAGCGCCTGGTGTCGGTGCTTTCCGATTTCCGTCCGGGTGGGAAATCAAACCCCATGATGACTTGTTCCGGCGCACCCTTCCTAGATGAGTTTACCTGGGAGTTACCTGGCCCATTGAAACCAAAGAGGGTACTTCCCAGCTGATGTTGTTTCCTATTCCCCACTTTTAAAAACCCCAAAACATTTATTAACTTTACAAACCGGGACTCGAGGTGGCTTACACAAAGTAAAACAACACAGATAAAATATCGAATGTTAAAACATATAAAAGGTAATCCTTTAAAAGTAATTGAAACAATTAAAAATAAATCTATTCAAACCGTAATTTAACAGATTTAGGGTTGTTGTTTTTGCTGAGACTCCCGGTCATAACATGCCCCAATGAAATCAATTATGTGCTGACAGAATGATGTGCGAGAGACCAGGGTTCAAATCCCTACTTGGCCATAAAGCTCACTGGGTGACCTTGGGCCAGTCACTCACTGCCTCCCAGTCTATCCTCCCTCACAGGGTTGTGGGAATTAACTGAGGAGGGGGAGAACGATGGTCGACAATGAGCACCTTGGAGAAAAAGAGAGGATATAAATATAATACATAATAACAATAAAATACACTTAATACTGATACAGAAGAGGGAATTCAGAAGGTGTGGATATGAAAATGTCAACAAGACCAGCTTTTCATCCTCATACATACTTAGTAAGTTCGATGTGATTTTAATTTCTGAGTTTCATGATTTAGCAAGTTCACCCTCCTCCCAATGGCCTTTTTACACGAGTGAAATAATCAGAATTCTGACACAGGACCATAGATTCCGCCAGAAATCATAGACTTCTAGTTGTTTTGCTGTGATTGTTTTACATGTTTTACAGTGACACGGAATTTCTCTGCTCCCTCCAAGCTCCGTCTTTAGTTAAAACAAGACATCTTCTGGAAAATTGTACAGTATTGAGTGTTTTGCTTTCTCATTCAGAAAAATGAAAATAAATTCCTTGTCAGGGACACTATCAGAGGAGCTTATGCTTTTATTGTTGTTAAATCGCTTTGAGTTGTTTCCTGGGAAGCGATTCGTAAATAAAGTACAGTACGGTAAATAATAAAATTGGGTGGGGAGGAGGAGGAGGAGGAGGGTATTGCAAAATTAGCCGCCCAAATTCTTGACACGATTTACTCCAAAGTAACCCCCTTCTGAGTTCAAGGGAACTTTAAAGGTCGGGCGGGGGAGAGGCAAACTTTCCTTCCCGCGATCCGCAATCGAAATCTTTTAACATTCGTTGAGGAGAAAGATAAGGGGCGAGACATTTGCAGAAACTGCCACCTCAAAGGGGTTAATGCAGCCTTCCCAGAATCCCGCGGGGTGGGCAAGATGGCCCCTTCCAGGAGCTCGTGGGGCTGCTCCTCGAGAGTAAACCTCTTTTCCACCCGCTAGGCTGGAAGCTGCTGTGGTTGTTGCTGCCGCTCGATTGCCTAGAGATGGGTAAGGACTGCGTGCCTGCTCGGGAAACAGCCCTGAGATCGTTTTCAAACTCAGTTGGCATTGGGGTTTTTGGGAAGGAACCGAACAGATTCTGTGTGTGCTTACCCCAGTTGTTGTTATTATGGTCTGCTTGATTTTTTACCCACCCTTTGCCCTCGTGTCCTAGAATGGTCCGCAACAATTTCACGTAATTCCTGCTCCGCAGTTGTAGAATTTGATCTTTTAGTGTGGCAGCACCTGTCCTTCCCTGCCCTTTGACAGGTTGCCTTCCCTGTACCCTTCTCAGCACCTGCAAAAACCTTGTTTTTAGCCTACCCGATGTTTAGAAAGTTTATGCGAGCTTTAATCTGTTTTTAGTTTTGGTAATTTTATTATTTTATCTTTTTTGTAAACAGCTTTGAGGGTTTTGGTTTGTATGTTTTTTGCCATCAAGCTGTACTGTATATAAATTTTTTGAAATAAAGGTAAAGGGACCCCTGACCGTTAGGTCCAGTCATCCAGTCGTGGCCTACTCTGGGGTTGCGGCACTCATCTCGCTTTACTGGCCAAGGGAGTCGGCATACAGCTGGTCATGTAGCCAGCATGACTAAGCCACTTCTGGCGAACCAGAGCAGCACACGGAAATGATGTTTACCTTCCCACTGGAGTGGTACCTATTTATCTACTTGCACTTTGACGTGCTTTGGAACTGCTAGGTTGGCAGGAGCAGGGACCGAGTAATGGGAGCTCACCCCGTCACAGGGATTTGAACCGCCGACCACCTGATCAGCAAGTCCTAGGCCCTGTGGTTTAACCCACAGTGGCACCTGCGTCCCTAAACAATGAGTAGATAACATTAAAATAGTTGGAAACAATAATCACATGAATATTGATGGAGAAAATAGGGGGGAACTCTGTTGCAACAGAAAAATAAAGAACCGCCTTGCTTTCACTGCATCCTGCCTCCATCCATCCATCTCTGACCCATCGTGGACTCAGGGGACTCAGTCCCTTGGGGAGCTGGGCAGCAAGAGCCAACTCTCTATTTTCTGTATATTATTGCAAACTGCTTAGACTGCAAATTGCAGTCTGTTTTGCAAACTGTTTTGTTTTGTTTTTCACAATCAAGTAGCATATACATTTTGTTAAAGAAAGAAGAATAGTGTGGGTCCTAAAATATAAATACTGTACACCTCAAGTGTCAGAGACTGGGGGAAGAGGTTTGTGTTCCGCCGTGATCCTAAACAGGCCTGTTTAACAGGCCCACTGCATTTTTGCTTTCTTCCAGATATGACCATGGAGACGTGGGACAGCCTCTATGCTCACTTGGCCTTCTTGTGGCTGAACAGATTCTACTTGTACTCTGGAGCGGTGTTTGGGATCAGCCTTTGGCTCTGCATCCAGTTTGTCAGTAAGACCAAAAAGCAGGTACTTTCCCCCACTGTTCCAGCATCTTTGGTGTTCTTGGTGACCTTTCCTGAAGAAGGGGCCTAGCGCATGGTGGCTGCTAAAGAACATATATTATTAGCACTATTCAGTATATATATATATATTTATTAACAATTTTGGTTTACATAGAAGTTACAGTATAACCCCTTTGATCCTGATACTGTATGTACTGTAGCTACCAAATATTGTAGAAAATGACTTTGCTAACTTCCATAAATAAATTGGCACCTACATCCATTTAAAATTAAAAGTTATTAAGTTAGTACAATTCGCACATACATACTGTATCTAGATTGAGGATATCAAATGAAGAACATACACTGATAATCAAAGAACAAGTAAGTAAAAAATAAATATTATGTCAGTTTAATGTAAACATTTATTAAATTCTCAGTATCTCATGCATTCCGAATTGTTGCATACTGTGGTTTGTGTGTGTGTGGGGGGAGGTGTTATTTCATTATTTGTATTATACATATGTAATAAAATTAAGCCAAACTTTGACTTAATTAATTTCAACTTTGTTGAAAGACTATGTAAGCTGCAGATGTATAAATTAAAAGTGGAAATGTGGGTCCCATGTTGCAGCCTGGGAGTCAGTGATGTGTCTTGGGTCTGGACTGGTTGAAGACTGATGCTTTAGGACTCCTACAGTTTTATATTTCTTATTTTGCAGAATAGAAATCAGCTCAGAAAATCAAGCCTTCCCCAAATTGCTACAGAAGGGCTTGTAGAAGAGCAGAAAGGCCCCAGCACTGACAAAGTCCATGTCACTGGGGTGAAGATTTTTTTTGGTTCTCAAACTGGAACAGCAAAGGTCAGTGCTGTGATAAAACCAGTGAGATTAAAAAGTGAGTCTTCTCCTTTGGGTGTGTGTGTGTGGTGGTGGCTGTTATTGTTCGGGGAAGGCACTCTGTTTGTGCTCTGAGGAACTTAATTCATTTCTTCATTTCTCCTTTGAAATAAAAAATTGAAATTCCTCTGATTTAGACCATGGAACCCCTTGCAACCATAGATCACAAGTTCAAATCCCCACTTGTCCATGAAGCTCAGTGGGGCCAGTCACTACTTCTTGGCCTAACTTACCTCACAGGGTTGTTGTGGGGATTAACCATGAATGCCACCTTGAGCTCCTTGGAGAAAAAGGTGGAGAATAAGTGCAATAAATAAACAAATACAATAAAAAAGTATTTACTGAAGACACATATACGCACTGCTGTGCTACAATATCAAAGCAGTTTACAGCAATACAAACAAACACACAGAAACACATAATCTATTTAGAAACCACCTTATTCTTGCAGCTGTGATTCGTTTAAGAATGTTTTTAATGTTGTATTTTCAATTGTTGCAACCTACCCAGAAATTGAATAAATATTGTTATAATTATTTTCTTTTTCTCTTTGCAGAGATTTGCGTCAATACTTGCTGAGTCTGTTGCCTCCCTTAACTTGCCTGCCGAAGTCATCAACATGAAGGACTATGACCCCGACGACTGTCTAGGAGACGAGGTTGGTCGTTCTTCTCCCCTGCTTCTCATTTTCTTTGGTGGGGGCCGGCTTGGAGGCACCTCAGGCATTGCCAGCTCTCTCACTTAACTAGGCTCTTGTGCTGTTAACGGCTGTGTGGCAGGGGAAGTTCCAGAAGTGCAACTTTCCCTGCCAGGTAGCTGCAGTGTTGGATAAACACTTTTCCAGGACAAAGTGCATCTGTAGAAGCCATTGTCAACGTCTATCTGTAGGAAGCATGTATGGACTCCTCTCAGGAGAAAAGTTGGCAACCTTCAAAGCTGATTCACACATGCATGGGCCTCAGGAAATGGGGAAACCTGATGAAACTCACTTTCACCGACTCTATCTTAATAGCATACCGTATTTTTTGCTCTATAAGACGTACTTTTCCCCTCATAAAAAGTATGGGGAAATATGTGTGCGTCTTATGGAGCGAATGCAGGCTGCGCAGCTATTGCAGAAGCCAGAACAGCAGAACTTGCTGTTCTGGCTTCAGGGATAGCCGCACAAAGTCTCTCCAACAACATTTAATTCAGAATATTTTTTTTTCTTGTTTTCCTCCTCTAAAAACTAGGTGTGTTTTATGGTCGGGTGCATCTTATAGAGCAAAAAATAGGGTATATTGCAGGGGTGTGCAAAAGTGTATATGTTTATAACTCTAGTGTGCCAGTGAGGAACCTCTGGCCTGATATGGGGCCTTGAACAGCTTGCCTGGATAGTATATTGATCTTATGTTGGAAGGGTTGCAGTGTAGCCTACGCTACAAAACTAAGAAGCACATCCACTGCTCACTTTTGCTTCTGACCACACCCACTCTTTTCGTTGGTTCCTGCCCACCACTGAAGCACTTGATGAATCAGGCCAATGAGGGCCCATCTAGTCTAGCATCCTCCTTTCAAAGTGGCCAATCAGGCACCAGCGGGAAACACCACAAGAAGGATCTGAGTGCAAGAGCACTTCCTGCAACTGGTATTCAGAAAGCAGTGCTGCCTCCAACTGGGGAGGCAGAGGATAGCTTTTGTTATGGATAGTAGCCCTTGATAGCCCTCTCCTCCATGTCTATATCTAATCCTGTTTTAAAGCCATCCAAGCTGGTGGCCATCAGTGCCTCCTGAGCAGGACTCTTGGGCTGAAAAGGATTCTCCCCTCCTGCTCTGGGCATTCAGAGATGCCACATACTGGTGACTACGGATCGATGGCCAAGAATGTACAAATTGAGTGATGATAACTCTTTAAACTTGCGAATATTTACTGTGTAATAATTGATTTAAAAACATTTTGATTGGCTTAAAAAGGTGCCCCTGGTGAAATGGGTCAGCAGACATAAAAACTCAAATATGATATTTAAATGCAAGTACAGTACTTCCAAATCTGTAGCTAACAAGGGCTTTCGCCCTGTGTTCAAGAGAAGCAGAAGGGGTTCCTCTTTTGAGACAGCGCCTCCTGCAATGGATGTGAGCTTTGTTTAAAGACAGGTGATGCATTTCACTTTAGAAGCCTTCACTTATTTTCTGAGGTGCAAATTTATGCAGATCTAACGAATTAATCACTTGGGAGAAAAGGTGTATTTTGCTTTAGAGGATTCACTTATTTTCCCGTCTGCCGTTTTATGCAGCTCTACTGTTTAATTGGTTAGTAAACTAAAACATACAATTGAGAAAACCCGTACTCCATGCAGTTAATATTTCTTAGCAGTGATTTCTACATTGCATGGAGTTGGACTCGATGGCCTTTGGGATCCCTTCCAACTCTACAATTCAATAAAATACAATAAAAAATTTTTCCCCTTTGGTGGGAATCTCTCCAGACAAGCAGCAAGAACATCTGCGTCTTCTTAGTTGCCACTTACACAGATGGGAAGCCAACAGAGAATGCCGTGTGGTTCTGTAAGTGGCTAGAAGAAGCATCCAGTGACTTTCGAGTCGGCAAAACGTACCTGAAGGGCTTGAGATATGCCGTCTTTGGCCTGGGGAATTCTCTCTATGCCGATCACTACAACACCGTGAGTCCCTTTTGTCATTCCTGCTAGAATTGATAATGATAGCTGGCAAGAAACTGAGATGCGGTGGGTGGGTGGGTCACAGGAGGACATCTAGTTTGACCCATTGCCCTCCAAGAGCAGATTCTGCTGCTATGTGAGGCTTCCCTTGCACTTGATCCGGAAGCTGCCATTAGTGCAGAATGCTGCAGCACAATTGCTTACAGGAGTGAGGCCACATCAGCATATACCAACTCTGCTCAGAGATCTGCGCCTTTGCTTCCAGGTCAAATTCAAGCTGTTACTATTAGTATTTTAAAGCCCTTTACCACTTGGGTCCAGTTTACCCAGGAGATCGTCTCCCATATAGGCCCCCTTGACCACTTCGATTGGTGAAACTAGTTCTGCCACAGGTGCCACATAATACCCATTCCACATTTGGAAGAAATCCCTCTTTTTGTGCAGCAGCACCTGCACTTGGGATCTCCCTGCCTAATGATTTCAGGTAGGCACCTTTGCTGTACTATTTTTGGCGCCTGCTAAAAGTGTTTTTGTTTTTTTTACAATCGAGCGGTGTATGAATTTTATGAAATAAGTAATTAAATAGTCGGTGAGAAACTGAGATGAGGGGGAGGGCTCAAGGGATCATCTGATCTAACCTGTTACCCTCAGAGAGCAAATCCTGCCCCTAAAGAATCTCCAGGGGATTTCTGCCCAATCTTCCCTTAAGAACTTGCAAGGAAGAGCATCCCATAACAGTCATCTTTGACTTGTTGCTGGACTGTCCTGGCTTTTTAGACAGACCTGGTGGTTTTTAAACTAATACCATCCCACCACCTGCATTTGCTCTTACAATATATTTTGTTCTTTCTTTTAAATTGGACGTATAGCAGGATTCCACCAGCGGGCCAGATCTTTAGCTCCCTACCCCTGGTGGGCTATTTTGACAAGGGTGGCAAGGTACACATTGATGGCTTTAGGACTCAATCACCTAAAGGTCTGCCTTCCCCAGGGCTGTAGCTCAGTGACAGAGCCCCTGCCTTGCATACAGAAGGTCCCAGGTTCAATCCCCGGCAGCATCTCCTGGTAGGCCTGGGAATGTCCCCCTGTCTGAAACCTTGGAGAGCTGCTGCCAGTCAGTGCAGACAAAACTGAGCTAGATGAACATCACGGTCTCACTCAGGCAGCTTCCTACGTTGCTTACGCCCAGGTCTCTTGTGTTTCCGCCGCAGGTGGGCAGGAGCGTGGACAAATGGCTGTGGATGCTAGGGGCCCGGCGGGTCCTCTCCTGCGCCCTGGGGGACGCCAATGTGGTGAAGAGCAAGCATGGGAGCCTGGAGGCCGACTTTGAGGCTTGGGAGGCCAAGTTCCTGGCCAGGCTCCAGGCCCTCTGCAGAGGGGAGAAGGCGGCCTGCAGAGGGGAGTGTAAGAAGGGCAAGTGCCGCTCCAAGAGGAAAGCTGGGCAGGAGACATCGTTGGAGCAGGAGCAGAGGGTGAGTGGGACTGGGTGTGGACCGCAAGCCAACAGTGTGATGCTGCAGCACAAGGAGCTAATGCGATTCTAGGCTGCATCAAGAGACGTCCAGTGTCCAGATCAAGGGAGGTCATCATGGTCTCTCAACCTTACCTGCCTCGCAGGAGGCAGGTGGCGCTGTGGTCTAAACCACTGAGCCTCTTGGGCTTGCTGATCAGAAGGTTGGCGGTTCGAATCCCCACGACGGGGTGAGCTCCCGTTGCTCTGTCCCAGCTCCTACCAACCTAGCAGTTCGACAGCACTCCAGTGCAAGTAGATAAATAGGTACTGCTGTGGTGGGAAGGTAAACGGCGTTTCCCTGCGCTCTGGTTTCCGTCATGGTGTTCAGTTGTGCCACAAGCGGTTTAGTCATGCTGGCCACATGGCCCAGAAAGCTGTCTGTGGGCCTGAAAGCAAGATGAGCGCCGCAACCCCAGAGTCACCTTTGACTGGACTTAACTGTCCAGGGGTCCTTTACCTTTTTTTTAAAAAAAACTTCACAGGATTGTTGTGGGGATTAAATGAGGAGGGGGGAGAACTATGTATGCCACCTTGAGCTCATTGGAGGAGCGAAAGGTGGGATATAAATGTAAAAATAAAGAAATAAATCCAGCCTAGTGGCCTTTTGTGGGGGTGGGTGGGTGGAGGAGAGCAGGGTGTTTTTGGGCCGTGTGGCATTTGCAAGCCCTCTTTTGTTTTCACAGGAGGAGGTGGCGGAGGAGGAGCTTTTTGAGACCACGAGCGAAGAGGATTCTGGCAATGAAGAGGGAGAGGGTGCGAACCAGATGGTGGATGTGGAAGACCTGGGCAGAGTCATGGGCCACATGAAGAAAGCCCAGGTAACGGTGAACTCTTATTTTCAGCCCTGTGGCTGTGTGTTCTCGTTGGTTCATTTATAAAAATACTTGTATACAGCTGTTCCTAAATTATTATTAGTATTTGTTAAATTTTAATACCGTCCTACACCCGAAGATCACAGGTGGTTTACAACTTAAGAACACAAAATGCATAATATAATAAAGAATACCCCCCCCCCGGCACACTTAAAAGAACATAGATTGTTTAACGGTCAAAGGTCTGGTTAAAGAGGAATGCGTTCTCCTGGCACCTAAAGATATGTAATGAAGGCTCCAGGCAAGCTTCCTTGGGGAGAGCATTCTACAAATGGGGAGCCACCGCCGAAAAGGCCCGTTCTCATGTTGCCACCCTCCAGAACTCCTGAGAAAGGGCCTCAGATGACAATCACAGGGTTTAAGTCGAGCTTGGAAATCCCTAACGCCTCTAATCCTAGACCAGTGGTACAACACAGTTTGGCAGACTCCGGTATTAGAAAAATAATCTGACAAGTTCAAAGTGATGAGAGGGCAAAAGAAGCGCGGCGGTTTTCATGCAATTTGATATGGTTTTATTGTTTACACTAATAACGAAGCATGTGGTAGAGAGGTTGTGTCCAGTATATGGTATGGTTTGGCTCCTATAAGTTGTTCTCTTTGGTACCAATGAAGATCCGATAAATAAATATCACACTTCCATTTTTTGGGATGGAAAGAGTTAGTAGTGCAGAAAGCAAGAAAGCAGGCCCCAACACTTTGACATATCCCTGGGCTTGCCAACCTTTTGAGGGCCGCTTGGTAAATTTGGAATTCTGATAAAGGGCCCTGGGCACCAGTCACAAAATGGCTGTTGTGAGAGTGGGGTATATCACAAAATGGCTGCCTTTAAGAAGGGTGTTGACAAGCTGGAACGTGTGCCGAGGAGGGTGACCCAGATGATCAAGTGTTTGGAAACTAAGCTTTATGAGGAACGGTTGAAGGAGTTGTGTATGCTTAGCCTGGAGAAGAGAAGACTGAGAGGAGATGCGATAGCCATCTTCAGTTTTCTAAAGGGCTGTCTCATGGAAGATGGAACAAGCTTGTTTTCTCCTTCTCCGGAGGGTAGGACCCAAACCAATGGATTCAAATTGCAGGAAAAGACATTCTGACTAAACATTGGGCAGAACTTTCTGAGGGTAAGAGCTGTCTGACAGTGGAACGGGCTCCCTTGGATGGTGGTGGACTCTCCTGCGTTGGGAGGGGCTTCAATCAGAGGTTGGGTGGCTTTTTGTCAGGGATTCTCTAGCTGTGATTCTTGCATTGCAGAGGGTTGGACTAGATGACCCTTGGCATTCTATTATAATTCCACAGTTCCATAACACAAAAAAGCCTCTCCTGATCCAGCAGGGTTCTTATGGAGGGCTGCAGACGTACCTTCATCCTTCCGCTCTAGGACCAACGCTAAAGCGAATGTTTGTGCCTTCCCTGAATTTGATGGGGCTGGCGATCTGTTTATTCTGTTGCTCATTAACGCCCTGTTGCTTCTGCTAATGAAGAAAGTGAGGCCTGGTTTTGCCATCCCTCTGCAGAGAGAGCGTGAGCTGGACCAAGAGGTTGAGAAGACGGGGCGGCTCCAGCGGAGAGGAGAGGATGCCTTGAGAGAGATGATCACGCCAGCTTTGCGGGATGCCCTCACGAAACAAGGTGATGTGGACTGCAAGGAGGCCCAAGGGGCAGGAGACTCCAGGGTGCAAGGAGACCCGGGGGGGAGTGCATCTGTCCTAGGCTGAGAAGCTTGCCGCCTGTCCTTGGCCTGCCTGGGCTAGAAAAATGGACATGATTGGCAGGAAAAAGCTGGGTGTGATTGGCAGGAATTGTCTCCAGGTTCTCCAGTCTCAGTTTCCCTCTCCTGATCAGCAGCCCTTGAACCTAAGGGGAGCTCTGCTGCATTAAACCATCCAGCCCAGCATTCTGTTCTGGCCAAACTAGATGCCCTCAGGGAAGGCCACTAGGTAAAAGGTAAAGGGACCCCTGACCATAAGGTCCAGTCGAGGCCGACTCTGGGGTTGCGGCGTTCATCTTGCTTTATTGGCCGAGGGAGCCGGTGTACAGCTTCTGGATCATGTGGCCAGCATGACTAAGCCACTTCTGGCGAACCAGAGCAGCACACGGAAATGCCGTTTACCTTCCGTCAGAGCGGTACCTATTTATCTGCTTGCACTTTTGACGTGCTTTCGAACTGTTAGGTTGGCAGGAGCAGGAACCGAGCAATGGGAGCTCACCCCGTCACGGGGATTCGAACCACTGACCTTCTGATCGGAAAGCCCTAGGCTCTGTGGTTTAACCCACAGCGCCTAAGCAGGCACAAATGCAGTTGTGGCATCTTGCCCCTGTTGGTAAAAGGTGCTTGAAAACGGATCCTTTCAAGGCACATGCCCTTTTCTCTTCTGGTTGTTGTATCTCTGTTTTCTTAAGCAACTGTGCCAACCTCAGGAAAGTGAGGTTGGATATTTGCAAATATATTGTGAGTTTAAGAGCTTCCATCCTAATAAATAATAATAATATTAATGATTTTAATATTTGTACCCTGCCCATCTGATTGGGTTGCCTCGGCCACTCTGGGCATCTTCCAACAAATATAAAAACATGATAAAACACTGCACATTAGAAAGCTTCCCTATACAGGGCTGCTTTCAGAAGTCTTCTAAAGGTTGCTCATCTCCTTGACATCTGATGGAAGGGTGTTCCAAAGAGTGTGGGTGCCACTACCGAGAAGGCTCTCTGCCTGGTTCACTGTAGCTTCACTTCTCGCAGTGAAGATCCTCAGAGGAGGACCTCAGTGTTTGGGCTGAACGATGGGGCTGGAGATGTTTCCTCAGGTATAATTTGACATTCCAGGGGTCACTTGGCAGGGTTAGGGTTAGGTGCTGCTGTTGCTGCTGATTCTCACATCCTCTGACACTGGTTCCCTTATGAGCAGCCTTCAGGGTGGAGCACATGCTGGTGAATTTTACCTTTGTACGCTATGCTCGTTTCTTCACATTCACCCAGCTCTCTCTGTTCTCCATCCAGGCAAGCAAATAGGCATTTCCAGAGTTCAAGGACCTGTTTCCAGCCAGGCTAAAACACGGGAGGAGGGTTGGTGCAGGCTCCTTTAGCCATGTGCTTCTGCTAGATCTCCTTACGCTCAAGAAAACAAACAAATCCCTCTTCTGATTTCAGGCTACAAGTTGATTGGGAGCCACTCTGGAGTGAAGCTCTGTCGGTGGACAAAGGTATTTAATGTCCTTCCCTGGGTGGATTCTTGAATCAGTGAAGAGGAATGTCTGTGGCCCTCCAGACCACTTTGGCACGGCCATGTGGTCAGGAATGGCAGGAGCTGTGATCCATAGATGCTCCTCATCCCTTCCATTGTGCCCACCTTTTTAAGAGATGTCTTTCCTCTTCCGCAAAGACCTCCTATAAATAATCTCTGCTAGTTGGATGTGTTTTGATTCCAGCGCATTTTTAGCTTTGGGGATTTTTTCCTAACCGTATTGCTTTCTATTTGCCTCCCACCAGTCGATGCTCCGTGGGAGAGGCGGCTGTTACAAGCACACCTTCTATGGCATTGAGAGCCACCGCTGCCTGGAGACCACGCCCAGCTTGGCTTGCGCCAACAAGTGCGTCTTCTGCTGGAGGTGAGAAACTGGGTAGGGGTTGGGGACACAAACCAAAGCCCGCCCCATCCCCCCGGTCCAGTCCAGCATCCTCTTTTCCTGCAGTGACCAACAAGTTGCCTCTGGGAAATCTGCAAGCCAGGCATGACTGCATCGCCCCTCCCCTGTGGTTCACCTTTTGAGTACCTTTTGAGCTGGACATAGACTGCTCCTGTACAGGGAGGTTTGCATTTAGCTGCCATTGCTGGTGGCCCTAGCTAGGCCACTCCTCTTATGATGGTATCTTTTCCTTTTTGGGGAACAACTCAAAAATGGGTTTTTGTGGCAGCAGAGTCGCCATTTGTAAAATTTCCTGTATTGGCAGCCAACTGGTTTTCAATGGGTGGCCAAGTTTTATATGAGAGAGAGAGGATGCGAGCGACTCACCTTTGAAGAAAGGCTGCAGCGTTTGGGACTTTTTAGTTAGAGAGAAGGCAAGTAAGAAGCAATGTGACAGAGACGTATAAAATTATGCACGGCATGGAGAACGTAGATAGAGGAAAGTTTTTCATCCTCTCTCATAGCACTAGAACTTGTGGACATCCGGTGGAGCTGGATATTGGGAGATTCAGGGCAGATAAAAGAAATCCATTCTTCATGCAGCACAGAGTTAAACCATGGAACTCACTGCCACAGGAGGTCACCAACCTAAATAGTTTGAAAGAGGATTGGACAAATTAATGCAGGAGGAGAAGGCTATCAATGACTACTAGCCACAATGGCTTTGCTCTGCCTTCATATTAATGCTTCCGAATACCCGTTGCCAGAAACGACAGGAGAAGAGAGTGCTTTTGCACTTGAATCCTGCTTGCAGGTTCCCCACAGGCATCTGGTTGGCCACTGTAAGAACAGGATGCTGGGCTAGATGGGTCGTTGGCCTGATCCAGCAGGTCTTTTATGAATCTGTGGCCACATTCACACTATAGCTAGAAAGCACTATGATACCACTTAAAACTGTCTTGGCTTCCCCCCAAAATCCCAATAACAGTAGTTTGTTAAGGGTACCGAGAGCTATTAGGAGGTCCAATATTCCCTGCACACAGCTACAGTTCCCAGAATTGTTTAACCATCCCTTTTCACAGGGAAGCCTGGAATTGTAGTTCCAGAAGGGGAATGGGGATCTCTCCCAACAACTCTCGGCATCCTTAATGAACTACAGCTCCCAGAATTCTTTGGGGGAAGCCATGACTGCTTAAAGTGGTATCATAGCGCTATGTGAATGTGGCCTAAATCTTGCTGTCCACTAATGAGGACAGAATGCTGAAAACTTGATTTGATTAATTAAGGCTTTTCTTACGAATGGAAGGAGGGGTGCCTTATATGCATGGGAGGTAGCTTTGTACAATCTATTCACAGTGACTATGGTGTAGTGTATATTTAATTCAGATTAAATTATTTTCAGGCACCACACAAACCCTGTGGGCACGGAGTGGCGATGGAAAATGGACCCTCCCGAAATGATCTTGCAGGAGGCCATTGAGAACCATCAGAGCCTGATCAAGCAATTCAAAGGTACTCCAGGGGCGGCCTGTGCTCTTGCTCAGTGCCTTGCAATCCCAAGGCAGCATCTCCAAGCAGGAGTGGGAGAAACTGCCTGAAACCGCTGCCAGTAGGCCATGTTCGTGTCGACATGCAGAGGGTCGCAAGGCCAGCTGGCTAGCCCCAGTTGGGTCGCTCCCATCCAGCCATCCCGCTGCAAAGACCCATCGGCCTCTGTTCCGACATAAATCAGTGACCTGGGCTTCAAAGCCAGGGCACACTATTAGCAGATCGAACTGCACACACAAAATTGGTGTGAGGCTTGTGAAAGCATACTACAACTACAGATTTATTAATCATAAATCAGGACAAAGAAACATGTCTCTCTCTTCGTTTTCTCAGAGAGACAGAGAAAAAGCTATACACACAACGGAAGTTCCCATCAAGCTGTGCTGGAATGTAAACAGACATGTGACACGCAACAGTTCCACACGTCTGCTCCTTAAGGTGGAATGGAAATCTCAGCAGTTTGAAATTCCCCAAGCGCCTGGCGCGTTTTGCTACTGGCGCAGATCCACATGGAGATTTCTGGGTGCCAGGTTCTTACTCCTCCCTCCCACCCAGTTGTCAGCTTCTTTCTCCCAGTCCCTCAGTGGGTGGAGCTGTTTAGGCTACATCTGCGCAAGCCCACAGAGACCCCTCTTCTCCTCCGTTTTGCAGGCGTCCCGGGCGTGAGGAACGACCGTTTTGAAGAAGGGATGGAGCCCAAGCACTGTGCCCTGTCGCTTGTTGGGGAGCCAATCATGTACCCCGAAATCAACCGTTTCCTAAAGCTGCTCCATCACAAGAACATTTCAAGCTTCCTCGTTACAAATGCACAGTTCCCAGAGGAAATCAGGTGAGGCCCGGAAGAGAAGTTGCTTTTCTCGTTATCCGTCCATCTACCGTATTTTTCGCCCTATAGGGCGCGCCGGCCCATAGGGTGCACCTAGGTTTTTTTTGGGGGGGGAATAAAGAAAAAAAAATTATTTTCCCCCCAGGCGCGGGGCTGGGGCGGGGGAAGCCCGAGCTTCCCCTGACCCCAGCCCCCAGAACAGGCTGCTATCCGCAAGCCTAGGGAGCCCGGCGGGAACTCCCGCGGGCTCCCCAGGCTTGCGGATAGCTTCCTGAACCCTGGAGAGCGAGGCTTTAGCGAAAGCCTGCATTCGCCCCATAGGATGCACACACATTTCCCCTTCATTTTTGGAGGGGAAAAAGTGCGTCCTAGAGGGCGAAAAATATGGTATTTCCCATGGTTTTTCCTCCCAAGAGCTCAAGATGGCATGTGGGGTTCTCTGCCTCCCCGTTTCACCCTCACAGCAGCCCTGTGAGGTAGCTTAGGCTGAGAGACCAGAATAATTGGGAAAAGGTTCAGAAAAGGGCAGCCAGAGGGATCCAGGAGATGCAGTGACCCTTATGAAGAAAGGTTGCAGCGTCTGGGACTTTTTAGTTTAGAGAAAAGGTGAGCAAAAGGTGACAAGTTTATAAAAGGCATGCATTGCATGGAGGAAGTGGATAGAGAAAAGATTTTCTCCCTCTCTCCTAACACTGTGTTGGAAGATTCGGGACAGGAAGAAAGGACTTCAGCAGGGGTGGTTGATCTTGTGCTCAAATCCTGCGTGGGAAGTTTCCTATTGAGGCATCTGGTCAACCACTGTGAAAACAGGATGCTGGACTTTATTATTATTATTATTATTATTATTATTATTATTTATTTATTTATTTATTATACATACATACATACATACATACATACATACATACATACCCTGCCCATCTGACTGGGTTTCCCCAGCCACTCTGGGCAGCTCCCAACAGAATGATGATGATGATGATGATGAAAAAGCGATAAAACATCAAGCATTAAAAATTTCTCTAAACAGGGCTGCCTTCAGATGTCTTCTAAAAGTTAGATAGTTGTTTATTTCCTTGACATTTGATGGGAGGGCATTCCACAGGGCGGGCGCCACCACCGAGAAGGCCCTCTGCTATTGGCCTGATCCTGCAGGGTTTTTCTTATGTTCAGCATGCCTTGCTGAAATGTTTCCTTGACCTCTGACAATTTCTCTTTTTTCCCTGGATATGTCCAGGAACCTTAGACTTATTGTATGGGTGGAATGTAGCTTACTGTACGAAGCATCCATCACTCCACCTGCTTTTTGCTGCAGGCATGTGGCCCCCACCAAGTTAATCAGGAGGGCATGTGGCCCTTGGGTTAGAAAAGGGTTCCCTGGCCCTGCTTTAGACTAGCTCTTTTTCCTTTGCGAGGGAGGGGGAAATGTATCTTGATTTTTCTTCGGCTGCAGCGTTCTAAACTCTCTTGGGACCTTCTCCCCCCCCCTTCCCTTCCCCTCCTGCCGAAAAGGAGCCTTGAACCTGTGACGCAGCTCTACGTCAGCGTCGACGCAGGCACCAGAGACAGCTTGAAGAAGATCGACAGGCCTCTCTTCAAGGATTTCTGGCAGAGGTTTCTGGACAGCTTGCAAGCCTTGGCAGAAAAGGTACCCGTTTCAATTGTTGTCATTCCCTCCCACCCTCCGTTGCTGCAATAAGGTAAGTGAAAGGTTGTGATCAAGCTGAAGGCATTTCAGCTTGATTCTCTAGGCCAAAAGCTCAGGTTTTATTACTATTATTATTTTTAAATTATTTTTATTCGTTTTCCTTCAATAATACAAACAGCAATAAACAACAAATACTAACCTAAATTAAACAACATAAACTAGCCTAAATTTCCATTACAATCTTTCAAAAAACTGCAACATCTTATTAATGTCTCTATTGTATACGCATGTTGACCTCCCTCCCTCCCAATTTCGGGTATTATTATTATTATTATTATTAAATGATTATGTATTTTTATCCCACCTTTCTCCCAGGGTGGCTCAAACGAGTTAAAAGCAGCACGGATACAACAGAAAAAGCTAAAAACACATAAAAGTCACTCATTAAAGAGTAATTAAATGCTAATAGTATTAAGACAATATATATATAAAAAATAATACATAGTGAAAACAGCACAGGCTTATTAAAAGCCCTTTCCTTAAAAAAACAGCCAGTCCACAAAAGCCTGTCAGAATAAAACAGTCTTCACTTTCTAGCAGCAGGACAAGAAGGGAGCCAGTCTAGCCTCTCTAGGAGGGAGTTGCAAAGTCTGGGAGCAGCCACTGAGAAGGCCCTGCCCCGCATCCCCACCAAGCATGCCTGTGAGGGTGGCAGGATTGAGAGAAGGGTCTTCACCAAAGACCTCAGAGCCTGGGCAGCTTCATAGGGGAAGAATATGGTCTTTCAGATAGCCCCTCCACCTCTCCGTGTCAGGCCTGGTACAATATTTCATATTTGCTAGCATTGCCTTTTTAGACCCTAGGGCAGGCATAGGCAAACTCCGGCCCTCCAGATGTTTGGAACTACAATTCCCACCATCCCTGACCCCTGGTCCTGTTAGCTAGGGATGATGGGAATTGTAGTCCCAAACATCTGGAGGGCCAGAGTTTTCCTATCCCTACCCCAGGGTGACTAGGGATTCACTCCCCCTCCCAATTCTTATTTATGTTCAATTTTGTTTATTTAAATGTTTATCAGCTACACTCTCATATAAAACATGACAATTATGTTAATGAACCCTTAACAAACTATCATTCCCATAATTATTTGTGGGAAGCCATGAGTGTCTAAGTGCATGGTGTTAGTGTTACCTTAGTCTCCCTCTCTCACTTTGTGGCCTCTTCCACTGTGTGTGACCGAAAAGCTCACTATCTGCAGCTTTCGAAATGTGGTCAGATAATGGAATTTCTGTAGTGCAAACAGTTTTGATCAGGGCTATGCAGTCCTGACTGTCACCTTCTTTTTGTTGTTGATGTGGCGCAATTTAATTTGAACCCGCTTCCTTTCCCCCCTATCAGCAACAGCGCACTGTCTATCGGCTCACGCTGGTGAAAGCCTGGAACGTGGAGGAACTGAAGGCCTACTCTGACTTAGTGTCTCTTGGCAAACCGGATTTTATCGAGGTTAAAGTGAGTTGTTGATCATCAGGGTGGCATCGTCCTTCTCATAACAGACTTCACCATCACCTCCACTCTCCCTGGGTGCAAATCCAGCCTACCAAAACAATGAAAGTTTGCACAGCTAACACTTTGAAGGGATGGTTTGCATGGGCCTGGATCCAAAAATCACACCAAAATACCCAAAGGGCAGGTTGGGTTTGGCTGCTTTTGTTTGCACTCCAGACCTGCCTTTGCAAAAATAGTTTGTGGGTTTGTGGAGGGGAGAGGGGGATCTGTCACTGCTGGCAGAGTGGAGTCTCCCTGTCCAACAGCAGTATGGCTGACTTGCTTGTTCCTGGGTTCAAGGGATGGGAGAGGGCTGTTACCTTTGTGTCCCTGCTTATGGCCTCCCCCGAGGCATCTGGTTGGCTGTTCTGCTGGGCTTAATGGGCCTTTGGTCAAGGCTTCCCCCAGAGAATTCTGGGAGCTGTAGTTTGCTACTGCAGTGCGCTTTTTGAAGGTGACTTGGAAACTGCAATTAATCCAGAATGCAGCAGCTAGACTGGTGACTGGGGGCGGCTGCCGAGATCATATAACACCGGTCCTGAAAGATCTTCATTGGCTCCCAGTACGTTTCTCAGCACAATTCAAAGTGTTGGTGCTGACCTTTAAAGCCCTAAACGGCCTCGGTCCTGTATACACCTGAAGGAGCGTTTCCACCCTCAACATTGAGCCCAGACACTGAGGTCCAGCGCTGAGGGCCTTCTGGCGGTTTCCTTGCTGCGAGAAGTGAGGTTACAGGGAACCAGGCAGAGGGGCTTCTCAGTAGTGGCGCCCGCCCTGTGGAACACCCTCCCAGCAGATGTCAAGGCAATAAAAAACTATTTAACTTTTAAAAGACAAGGCCCTGTTTAGGGAAGTTTTTAATGTCTGATGCTGTATTGTTTTTAATATTCGGTTGGAAGCCGCCCAGAGTGGTTGGGGAAACCCAGCCAGATGGGTGGCGTATAAATAAATTATTATTATTATTATTATTATTATTATTATTATTATTATTATTTAGGGGGCCGAGAGGTGTTAGGAGACCCCATCCCAGAACAACAATTCCTAGAGTGGTTTAACAGTCAATCCTTGTCCCCAGTGAACTCATGGAATTGTAGCTCTCTGAGGGGCCTCCTCTCAGTGCTCTTCACAAACTACAGCTCCCAGAATTCTCTGCAGCAGGGGGTGGGGAGCCAGGGCTATTTAAAGTGGTATTGTAGTGCTTTAAACGTGTAGTGTGAATGTGTCCCCTGTTCTCCAGCCAGGCCCAAACAAGGAGGATTTGATGCTGAGCTGGTGAGAGGTGTGGCCTGGGAAGAGTGGGTGTAGTGGACCACTTGTGTCCCGGACTGGTTGGACATGGAGGAATGGTGGGAAGAACCAGGGAAGAAGGCTCAAAGCCTGGGGAGTGGTGGTGGGACAATGATGAGTGGCCAGAGGGAGAAGCCTAGGAGAAGGAAGTGTCAAAAGCTGAAGAGGCAACATGGTTTAATGAGGAGGGAGAAAGAATCTGTGGCAGAGCGAAGCCCAGACTGCTGAAGCAGGGGAGGAGGGAGGCCAAGAGGCAGCGAGGAGTCCGGCTGGTGCAGACTCCTAGGTATCTCCCCCTTCTTCTGTGACAAGCTCTGCTCCCCTCCTGATCTCCCAGAATCATAAGAGGCATGAAGAGGGCGGAGGATAGTTTGGCTTCACACAAGTGCAGTCTCTGATTGCTAGGAAAAAGCCCTGGAGAGGTGGGAACTTAGACGGCTGTTGGGAGATGGGGATTTTGAGTCTTGGCAACTGATCCATGAGACAAGGTCTACAGGGATGAGCTGCTGTGCTCATTAGGCCTGGCACTCTACCAAGCCTGTGTAGATTATCTTCTTGCTAATAAAGAGAAGTCCAACTTGGAACAATGTGATTTAGTGCTGGCTTGCATGTGACGCCCAGACCAGTTTCCCTATCCCTTCCTCTACAGACCTGAAACGTTTCCCTCTTTCTCTGACAGGGTGTGACCTACTGTGGAGAAAGCTCAGCCAGCAACCTCACCATGGCCAACATCCCGTGGCACGAGGAGGTGGGGCACTTTGTCCAGGAGCTGGTCGACCTTCTCCCGGACTACGAAATCGCCTGCGAGCATGAGCACTCCAACTGCCTCCTGATTGCCCACAAGAAGGTAGGTGGATCCTTATTTTGCCACCATTGATTTGAACTCTTGACCTCAAGTTTCTTCAGCTTGTAATTTTTTTGTTTGCTCGCTGTTTTTCAGTCGTAACACAGTTCAAAATGCTTCATGGCAGTGACAGTAAATCAATATTTACAGACACAAAAACAAACATCTCACCAATTAAAACAATATTGTAAAAACTACAGCAGATGCAAACGTCGGAAAAATGGTAATCAAACAATGGCACAAATAGTGTTTAGAAAATGGTCAGGTGTAGTCATGGGGGAAAGGAACTGATAAGTCTTTATTTACCTCTCCAAGGAAGGGAGAAAATGTCTCACCCTGACCTTGATCAAAATCATCAAGGGGAACTCTGGTGTACCCCAACCTGGGCAATATAATTTTGAATCAGAATAATTTTGTAGCACACACAGTTTTGATCAGGACTTTGCATTCATCATCTTTTTGCTGTTGATGTGGCAGAGTTTAATTTGAACCCTCAAGCTTGTGCCAGCTGAGCTTGCTGTCTCTGATTTGATCTTTTGTTCTTTGTCCCGTTGTTGTTTTTTTAATTAAAAAAAAACAATTTTCCTGGAGGGGGATGATCAATGGTTCATGGGTGTGTGTGTCTCCCTTTCCTTTTGCAGTTCAAGATCAGCGGGGAGTGGCACACCTGGATCAACTATGATCGCTTTCAGGACCTCTTTCGTCAGTACGAGCAGAGCGGGGGAGCCAAGACGTTCACCTCGGCTGACTATGTTGCCCCGACTCCTCAGTGGGCTGTCTTTGGGGCAAAGGAAAGGGGCTTTGACCCAACGGACACCCGATTCCAACGGAAGAACAAAGCCAAGGACATCTCAGGGTGTTGACACTCTCAAAACAGCAACAGCCAGAACTCCTTTTAGAGCCACAGTCTAGACAAGCCTTCACCTTCCAGTTGATTTGGACTACAACTCTCATCATGCTGGCTGGGGGATGATGGGAATTGTAGTCTCGAGAACGCCAGGTTGGTTTAAGATCATTTCAGGGAGATTTTAGCATTTACATTAGCCTCGGAAACTTTTGCAAGGAGGTCTTTGATAACCACCAGACAAATATGAGGCGGGTTCTCATCTTCTACTCTACTCACTGATGAGCAATGTGCTTTCGAAGAAGCAGGCAAGAACAATTTGTCATTTTTGAGCAAAAGGTAACCCTGAAAACTTTGTGCCTCCCAACCCCCCCCCCCAAGCGGGGGCAATAACTGCACCTGGTTCCGTTTGCAGTCCTGGAAACCCAGTGCTGCCTTTTTGCCTTCTCACTTGATCCCTTCGGTGGTCAGATTCCTGCCACGTAGTCAATGGTTCCATGGGTTTCTGTGTGCGAAATTCGCACCCCTGAACATTCCCCAGTTGCATTTCCACAGGTGATTTTTGCTCCAAGTTTTATACAGCACTGTGGGGTGGAGGGGAGGTAGGAAGATCACAGACCCCACCAAAATGACCCTTGGCATGCTTCGTTCCTCCTGATTGTGGATGGTGGAGTTTGTCCCAAAGGGGGCTTTGGAGTCTCTCCAGACTGGGGCCCTGCAGGAACATGAGGGAACTGTGTTTCTGGTGTCACGCCTGAAGCAAAAAGCCAAGCCCTTGAACTCTACGCTACCTTTGGGGTCTCTGTTCTTTGGGTTACCTGACTCCGCTCTCAGGAAACGGAAAACAAAGTTGCCTTAAATTTGGGTGCTGGCAGCTTATCAAAGGTCTGTCTCGCTTAACTGGATTCTGCCACACTTGATCTGGTTTAACCACCACGGTGTGCTTACACTAAGGCAACGTTCACCCCTTACATTTAGGGCAGCCCTACATATAGAGCCATCTGATACCGCTTTAGGATGGAAAGCTTCAACACTCTTAACAAACTACAGCTCCCAGGATTCTTTGGGAGAGGGAGAAGCTATGACTGTTTAAAATGCTTTAAATATATGGTGTCAATGGTCTCAGTCCGTTGCTCCACTTGGAATTCTGGACATTGTAGTTTTGGGTGATCCTCTGCAGAAGCTTTCCACAGGACTCGCTTCTGGCTCCCATAGGGAGGGAGCTTGTTTCTGTCTGTGTTTAAGACAAGCACCGCCTGAGCAGGGATAAAAACGCTTTCCTGTGCTTCTGGTAGACGAGATGGATTTTGGAACATTTCTTTGTTAATGGAGGTCATTATATATTTCCTCATACAGAATTCTAATTGGCTGCACAGATTTCCCAATATGTTGCCTTAGGCTGTGCTGCATTAATGTGAAATTCCCCTTTTGGCTGAAGAGATCAAATATCTGCGGCTACAACCATAGAATCCTCATGTGTGGGTCAGGGAACGTTTTTGAAACATTTGCTTCAGTTGCTCAGGCACTGGAAGAGGCAAGCAAGTTTTAAATGGAATAATAGCTCCTTGCTTGTTCTGCCCGGGGCTACCACAGGAAATGTTTGGACTCTGGGCCTGATTTGTCCCACCAGGCCTCTCCATTTACCCTATGAGGCCATTCCGGATGAGCCACGCCCATATGACGTTAGGAAATGATGCGGCTCCCTGCTGAAGGCGGGATTTGTAGGCACTGCCCATCAGCAGATCATCTGCAGCAGTCTGTTCCTTTGCTTTTTGAGGTTTGATTTCAAACCACTCAGGCAAAGTAAAATGAGCTGCCTGATGCCATTGAGGGGGTGGCTGAATCCAGTTCCTGGGGCTGCAGTAAAAACTATTAACCCACCTCTGGCTTGTGTTATTACTCTCCCAAATCTGAACACATTTCTGTCTAGGAATTGTGCCATGCGAAAAATGAATTTTCTGCAGCAATGCCATGTTTTGGGGTCCCCTTCTGGGCCTTGTCCTCTGTTATCTACCACTGTTTGATTTTATTACACTGGTCTTTTTAAAATAGATATTGCGTTACAATTTCCCAACCTTGTGAGGTAAGTTGGGCTGAGAGGCTGTGGCCCCTCACAGTCACCCCCAATGAGCTTCATGGCCGAGTGGGAGCCCTGCTCTCCATCCTTCAGGTGCTCAAAAACTCTCGTTTCACCCCCAGTTCAGAAATCCCAGCGTTCATCCATGCTGTTTGGAATGTGATGGGCATAATCGACAACCCGGATTTCTTCAATAAAAAGGCTGTTCTTTACCCAGCGGGAAGGATATAGCACTCCCCAGGGTCCAATTAAGTTGTTAAAAATTACGCATTTGGCCTTTCCATTTTTTATCTGCCTTTAGCTAAAGCTAACTTTTGATATTGCTGTTGTGGTAAAATGATAAAACCTTTACAAGCTAAGATAAAAGAGGCCCAAATGCTGCTGCCTGTTCTGTGGTTCCTCTCGTTCCAAAGGCGTTCAGTTGGGAAATATTCTTTGCAGGGGCGGCATGCCAGGATTTTGGCAGCAAAATGCGCAGTTTCAAGAAAGGGTCTTTTGTGCTAGGGTGCGGTTCATACTGAAGGCGTGTACGTACACTGACATTTTCAAAAAGAAAACGGACAGGAAACGGCCTTATCTATATGGCGAGAAGCGTTTCCTGACAGATAAACGCACAAGCCCTCTTTACATTCCTGAAATGTCTTACAGCTCACTGTTTTCAAGCGAGTGGGTCGACGGGGAATCTGAGTCTGCTTCACTGCTGCAATTCCAAACATATTCAGAAATGAATAAGCTTTTTTTTTTGGGGGGGGGGAGACACTTGACAAAGGTGTATAAAATTATACATGGTGTATAAAATTCTGGGCCATCCAAGGAAGCTGAAGATTCAGATCTGACACAGGTAGTTACCCTTTTCACCCAGGTACATGTGCAGAATTTGCTCCCATGAGTTGCAGTGATGGTCACAACACTGGATGACTTTGGAACAGGGGTAGGCAAACTAAGGCTGGATGCGGCCCAATCGCCTTCTCAATCTGGCCTGTGGACAGTCCGGGAATCAGCGTGTTTTTACATGAGTAGAATGTGCCTTTTATTTAAAATGCATCTCTGGGTTATTTGTGGGGCCCGCCTGGTGTTTTTACATGAGTAGAATGTGTGCTTTTATTTAAAATGCATCTCTGGGTGGGGCATAGGAATTCGTTCATATTTTTTTCAAAATATAGTCCGGCCCCCCACAAGGTCTGGGGGACGGTGGACCGGCCCACGGCTGGAAAAGGTTGCTGACCCCTGCTTTGGAACATAAGAAGGGGCTGTTGGATCAGTCCAAGTTCTTACAAGCGGCCAAATAGATGCCTGTAGGAAACCATCAAGCAGAATCTGAACACAAGAGCGCTCTCCCCTCCTGTGGGTTCCAGCAACTGGGATTCAGAAGCATCATTGTGCCTGACTCTGGAGGCAGAGCGTGGCTAGTGCAGCTGACAGCCCTATATCCTCCACAATTTCGTCTAATCCTTTTAAAAAGGCCATCTAGGTTAGTGGCCACCATCTCTGCCTCCAGTGGGAGGGAGTTCCGCTGTTCATGCACTGCGTGAAGCTTCCTATGTTCCTCAATCTCTTTGAGGGAAAAAGAGATATAATCTCGGAATATTTTAAAATGAGGGATGCTGGTGAGGCCCAGGTCTGGCTGGAAGTCACACCCTCAGATTCTAGAAACGCAGGGGTTGAGACTGGTCACTGCTGAGAGGGGGAAAGCACTTTGTGCATGCTCAGAGAATGTTACTGCTAAACATTCACAGCAGAAGGTTTGAGAGGAGCTAAGCCCTGCAGGTTTTTACCTCCCATTTTGTGCAGCGTTACCGGAGGCTGCATGTTTACTCAGGAGTAAATTCCATCGGGGTTGCAATAGCAAGGCCGATTCGGTGCTTATACATATACAGTATATAGCCCCAATTTGCAAGCTCCCAAATTCCCAGGAAGCCACTGGTTTCCCGCTTGGAAAGCCTGCGGGGACAGGAGAACTTTATACGTGCTCAGAGGCGGTGCTGCGTTTAGTTGCGACTCTTATCTCAGGGACTCTCCAGAAAAATGGATTTCGAGGTTAGAGTCCCTCTGTGGAGTAGCAAAGAAGCTGCTCCGAGCACGTGCAAACTTGCAAGTCAGCGAATTTCAGATCGGGGTGTATTTCAAACCAGAGCACATTTACGTGATATGGCCACGAAACTTGATGGTCTCCGAACATGTGCAGAGCGCCACGCTTTTGCCGCTTAAAAATCAGCCTTAGCAGCGGTGAAATCAACAGACCTCACTGGTCTGGTAATGCGTTTCAGACCAGAGACGCGGCCAGGAAACTGGGGCGCCTCTGAGCATGCACAGAAAGCCTCCCTTTGGGCTCCGGGCTCAAAACTCTGTCCCCGCCCCTTCTGCTAAGGAGGCTGCCGAGTCCAGCCAATCTGAAGAGGGCGAGGAGGGGGCGGCGCCCGATTTGAAATCTTTTCAAGGACCCGCAAAAAGAGGACCAGATCTCCCAGCTGCAAGCGGCAGAGGTAAGTTTAAGGGGGGGGCTCTCTGGGGTCCGGCTGCAATTATTATTAGCCAGATGCATGCATGCAAATATCGGGGCATCATAGAGGCTCCCCCTTTGCACCCCAAAGCAGGATGCGACGCGCCTTTCTTTGCAACGCGGAATAAACCGAGCCTTACATTCCTGCAGGGCGTGGGCGAGCAAAAGCATACAAACGAATAAAATACAAAACGATCGGGAACAAGCTCGAGTACACAAAACAAAACGTAGACTGGGCGTTTCCCCGCATACTCTTGAAAGCGTTGCCAGGAAAGCAAAATATTTGGACATCTTTTTGCACGGCCAGAGTAAAAATGGATAGCGCATTGATCCATTAGCCATTTATCCTCGCGTGCTGTTTCCGTCTGAGTATCTCTTGTTTTCAAAACAAAATTAAGAAATTCCTTCCAGTAGCGCCTTAGAGACCAACTAAGTTTTCAAGCCAGCGACCAGTGATGCTTGGGAATGCTATCCAGCTACATAGAGTTTTGAACACAAGAAGATCTTGCTGGATCTCGCCAACGGCCCCCATAGTCCAGCATCTTGTTCTCACAGTGGCCAACTGGATGCCTCTGCTGGGAAACCCACCAGCAGGATTTGAACACAAGAGCCCTCTCCCCTCCTGTGACTTAATAGGAACTGGGATTCAGAGGTATTGCTTCCTCTGACTGTGAAGACAGAGCACAGCCACCCTGGCTAGTAGCCATCCATAGCCCTCTCCTCTATGAATTTGTTCAGTTCTTTTTTAAAGCCATCTAGGTCAGTGGCCCTCACTGCCTCCTGTGGGAGGGAGTTCCACAGTTTACCTATCTGTCCAACATCTGTCTCTTCATTGAAGAGACATGAGTTCTACTGTTATGAGAGAGGGAGAAAAAAACTTCTCCATCCACTCTTTCCATGCCGTGCTTTATTTTAAAAGCATTTATCACGTTGCCTCTTAACTCTGCTTTTCTCTAAACTAAAAATCCCAAACACTGCAACTTTTCCTCATAAGGGAATTGCTCCATCAACCCCTTGATCAATCGGGTTGCCCTTTTCTGCACCTTTCCTATCTCTACAATAGATATAAAGCTGGACCAATTCTCCTGTATTCTGATTCCCATTCCCCTGCCCTAGTAAACACAACATTACTGTATTTTTCGCTCTATAAAACGCACCAGACCATAAGACGCACCTAGTTTTTGGAAGAGGAAAGCAAGAAAAGAAATATTCTGAATCCCAGAAGCCAGGACAGCCAGCAGGATTGCTGCACAGCGATCCCGCTGGCTGGCTTATGAGATAGTGGCGCGCAGCCTCTCCCAGCCGGGGAGGCTGCATGCAGCTAAGCAAAAAGCCAGGACAGCCAGCAGGATTGCTGCGATCCCGCTGGCTGTCCTGGCTTCTTGCTTAGCCGTGCGCAGTCCTGCTGCTCCCTGAGCTGCTCTTTGGGGCTGGTGGGTGATAGCTACGCGCTGCCTCTTCTGGGCAAGGGGAGGCTGCACGTAGCTAATCCAGAAGCCAGGACAGCCCCCAAGAGCAGCTCAGGGAGCAGCAGGCAGGCTCTGCTCTGCCGGCACCCAGGGTTTCCCCCGCCAGCCCCAAAGAGCAGCTCAGGAGAGTGCCGCACTCCGGCAATTTAGCTCCAGGGACCACACATTAGCTCCATAAGACGTACAGTTTTTAAGAGGAAAAAAGTGCGTCTTATGAAGCAAAAAATATGGTAAATCTCTGATTGGAATTTGACTGACCCCTCTTGAGTAATCCAGGTGGTTAGCAACTGACACTAAATGCCTGCCTTTGTTCTCCCCTCCCTGTAACCCTTTTGTGATCTTATGGACTAGAAACCTGAGTGGGCTTATTTACAATACTTTGCTTAGAGGAGCCCGGCACCAGGAAAGGGAAGATGACATCTGTGCTCCAGAGTGTGGTGGAGTCTGCCGTTGGCTGGCGAAATCACGAGATCCTGCCTGATCTAGAGGAGAGTCCGCTTCCGGACAGGTTCAGGAAGAAGTCTTCTCGCAACATGACGTCCATGCGGATGTCTCTGCGGAAGCGGATGCCTTTAAAAGAAGTGGAGGTGAACTTTGACGAGAATCCGACATGGGAGAGCCTGGAGGCCAAGGAGAAAAGACAGAACTTGCGGACGCTTACAAGGACAGCTAAGAACGCCTTTGGGACAGTGTCACAGGTATGGGTGGCTGCAATGGGCAGGTATTCAAAGAAATTCAGATCCAGCTACTGGAATGCTAATTTGGCTGTCAGAAGCCGTTTACAAAAAAAGATAAAACAATGAAATTATCACTAAAGCAATACTGGTGACGATAATGTAAGACTTTTGAAATGTTAAAATAGCAATAGAGTAAAAATGCGGGTGGCGCTGTGGGTAAAAGCCTCAGCGCCTAGGGCTTGCCGATCGAAAGGTCGGCGGTTCGAATCCCCGTGGCGGGGTGCGCTCCCGTTGCTCGGTCCCAGCGCCTGCCAACCTAGCAGCTCGAAAGCACCCCCGGGTGCAAGTAGATAAATAGGGACCGCTTACTGGCGGGAAGGTAAACGGCGTTCCGTGTGCTGCGCTGGCTTGCCAGATGCAGCTTTGTCACGCTGGCCACGTGACCCGGAAGTGTCTCCGGACAGCGCTGGCCCCCGGCCTCTTGAGTGAGATGGGCGCACAACCCTAGAGTCTGTCAAGACTGGCCCGTACGGGCAGGGGTACCTTTACCTTTACCTTTAAAAATGGATCAAAACTCGCACCGACCTTTTTAAGGCTTGTCTAGACAAAAATTTAGCAGATTTTAGCAGGTGCTGAAAAAATTACAGGGATATCAACAGGCAGTGATTTCCCAATTTCCATGTTAGAATATAAAGTTCATGTGGCTTCTGTAAATGGGCCACTTCCGCAGATTG